ATAGGGTTTATACTGAGTACAATATTGTATAACTGTAATAATTCAACTGTAAACCTAAAAATTTATAGCTAATTTTGAAAGAGATGCATCTTAGCTCTGGAAATTGTTATTCCATGTGTCAATGCTGTTGTAATGAAATGCTTCTTCTAAGTATGTGGTTATTAAATAAATAATTTAAAAATTCATTTCCTAAAGACTATATTTATTCAATTTGAAAATCCCTAGGAATGTTCTTAGATCTGTCAATGTATGTGTAAAAGAAACCGATCTAAAAATCAAATTGTTATTGGTGCATGGTATCTCATACCTATAATCCCACAACTCAAAATAATCAATCAAACGTCTTATTAAAACTAAAATTAAGGCCAGGTATGGTGATATGCACCTTTAATACCAGTACTCGGGAAACAGAGGCAGATGGACCTCTGTGAGTTCTAGGCCTACTCTATATAGCAATTTTCAGTTGCTATTTTAGATAGCAACTCTATCTAAAAAAACAAGCAAACATCTCTAAAATGAAATAAAAAAATCTTAAAAATTATTTACTTATATATTTGATCTAATTTCAAAAGTTATTGTTAGGGGCTTAAGAGATGGCTCAGTGTTTAAGAACATTGATTGCTCTTGCAGAGGACCTGGGTTCGAGTCCCAGCACCCACATGGAGGCTAACAACGATCCATAACTCCAGTTCCAGGGATCTGAGGCCTTCTTCTGATGTCTGCGGGCATCGTACAACACAGGTGCACTTAACACACATGCAGCAATACCCTCATACCCATAAAATAAAAATAATAAAAAAGCTATTGTTGGAGCTGGAGGGATGGCTCAGCGGTTAAGAGCATGGGTTGTTCTTGCAGAAGATCTGGGTTCGAATCCCAGCACCCACGTGGCAGCTCACAACTGTCTGTAACTCCAGTTCCAGGGGATCTGACAACCTCTTCTGTTCTCCGCAGGCATTGCACAACATGGGTGGACTGACCTACATGCAGGCAATACATGCATACACATAAAATAAAAATAAACAAACAAAAAGCTATTGTTAATTAAAAGTCACGTGGCTAAATATATATTTGCATATACATTTCATGTTTTAGTATAAAAATACTACTGAGTTCTCAAATTCTTCAGTTTAAAATTGGCTAAAAAAGAAGTGTGAATATGATCAAAATATATATATATGTATGTGTGTAAAAATGTCACAATGAAACCCATTATTTTATATAATTACCATATACTTGTGAAATAATTTAACTAGGCGTGGTAGTACAATCCTGCAATCCTAGGTACTTAGGTGAATGGGGCAGCAAGATGGAGAACTAGATGCGACGGACCAGCCCAGACCGGGGCAGTTCAGTCCGACGGGAACAGGATCGTTGAGAGGGTGGACAAGGAGTTGGCGAGTGATAAACAGACACAAAGGAGCTTGATGAAGGTCTGAGTGTATTTTTGCAGCTGCAAGGTTTGAAATATATACAGCAAAGATTGCGACTGTTCTGTAATTAGTCACCTTCTAAGATTTTCAGTAAAAGTAAAACAGTTTTTCCAACCCTCATGTATAGCCAAAACACATTTCTTTATCTTATCAACCTGGTACCAGTCAGCAAATTCCTGCTTTATGATACTATGGTTTCTACTACCAGCTTTTATCACGCACTCAGAACTCTGCTTAGTTTTGTGTTTTCAGGTCAGAATGACCTTAAACCACCAAGTACTTTCAATATCAACTGTGCATGATATTTCATTTTTAACTATTTGATAACATTCCTTGCTTATTTGTAGTGGGCCACCGGGCTTCCAAGTCATTCTTTAACCCCTTAGATCCTAAAAAATCATCCCATGTTAGGGACCTATGAAACCATCTTTCCCAGCTATTTTTCCAATCCTTAACTACAGTCTGTAGTTGCCTTTTAATGCTCTCTTGTTGATCTTTTATCAAAAGACACCAAGGTGGTCTTAATCTTGCCAATTTATCCATGAATTGTAATGAATACCAAGAAACCCTTCTTCTATCTATATTTACTCATCTATGTCTCTCTTCTAGAAATCCGTTATTCCCTGGACTTTCCAGCATTAATTTTGCTTAGCTACTTCTTGCTGCATCTAAAATGGCTTTTATTAATAGTGATGCATCTGGAGGCAAAGTTGTCTTTTGTGACTGAGTTCCTGAGAATTCTTCCTGCATACTAGGATAATTAAAAGATTTCAATAAAGGCAGTGACAGCGGTGTCAAGGACACCAGGTGCTTTCTGGGCCCCTGAAAGCCCATGATACAGTGACAGTCAGAAAGATAATAGCAAGTAAAAGCATGCCAAGTACACTGCATGTTTTTTAGCACAGCCAATTCCAAGAGGCAACCTTCCTTGAAGTTCCAGCCTCAACCCACGGAGGATCTCATGTGGGCTTCATTGGAGATGGCGTGATAACTAGAGGTAAATTTGGGCCAAATAGCAAGAACTTGGCTCAGAAAACTAAAAAATAAAATGGAAAAATGCAAAGAAAAAAAAAAAAGAAAATTACAAACTTCTCTACTTTCAGTTAACCATTAAAAAATGGTTGATATCTTTTGTGGCCAAGAAGCACTATTTAACTTATCTTTAAAAGGTAAAGGCACCTTAATTTAATAACCATTAATTTGTACTACAGATAAATGGGTGAAATAATAATTGAGACAAAAAGAGATATGCTGAGGGCAGAGGCTGCTCCCTAATTTTCAATAATACACTGTCACCTATAAACTTGTGACTTATCAGGTGTTTTATTACTCCAATACAAACCAATTTACTTATAATTTACTTAGTACTTACACTTTTATACTCTGCTGTAGTTTGAATGAGAAATGTCCCATGTAGGCTTAAATATTTGAATACTTGGTCAGTTGGTGCTGCTGGGCAGAAGTCATGGAACCTTAAGGAGGGGCAGACTTGCTGGAGGAAACATCACTGGAGGAGGTAGGTTCATAGCATTATTCTACTTCCTTCTGCTTCAGGTGTGTGCTGGAAGATGTGAATTTTCAGCTACCTGCTCTGCTCACCTTCTGCCACGCCTCTCCTACAAGTATGGACTGTCCTTCTCCATTCCATAAGCAAAAATAAACTCTGCTGCAAGTTGCCTTGGTCAAGGTCAATTTATAACAGCAACATAAAAGTAATGCATACATCTGTCATTCCTAACCATAATACAAATGCATCAAAGCTATGCTATTTAGTAAGTCCTCATAAAATATGATATAGTATCCTGGTCACTCTGCATATACAAATGCATCATCTATTGAAACAGGAAATACACAATATAACCATCATTATTTTCTGGAAAAAATTCAATTACATATCCTACTGGCAAAAGTATTTCATAAAATACTCTGCATATTTCAAATTACAAACTTTAAACCCTAAAAGGCGAGAATATAATTTGGTAATACTCAAGGTACAGATCACTTATTTAGGATAACACTTTTTAAAAATCCTCCATGAGAAATATACAAAAATATTTTCTCAGTCTTTATTACTCAAGAATGTGTTTTCTTAGTTAAAATTTTGATTAAAATAATTATTATGAGATATTTCATTAGCTTCTAATTCAATAGTTCTCTTTTGTAGTGCAGTATTAGTCATTTTTCTGTTGCTGTGATAGAAACACTCACCAAAGCAATTTATAGAAGGAAGAGTTTATTTGAGCTTATGGTTGTAAAGGGCAAGAGTCCATCATGGCAGGGAGGTATGGTGGCAGAGGTGCCTGGAGGAAGAGTGGAAGCTAAGCTCTCCTATCTTCAAGAAGGCACAGGAAACAAGAGAGACTGGATATCAGGCAAAACTTAAAAACTCTCTAAGTCCACCCCCAGTGACATGCTTCCTCCAGCATACACACCTTTAAGACTTCCCAAAACAGCACCACCAACTAGGGACAAAATTTCCAAATACTTGGAGCCTATGAGGGACTCAAACCACCACATAAATGCATGTACAATCCAATATTTTGCTTTAATAAAAACATAAACAATGAAAAGTTCTAAATTCCAAAAAGCTATATATACTAGAATTGACATCTTCATGTGAGGAAATCAGCTATTCTCATAAAACTATTTAATGGAAAGAGTTTTTCCAATAATCAAGCTAATGAATTTTAATATACCTGGCTTTTATGGGAAAATTCTGTGAAATGTCTTTCATTAACTTTATGGCATCATAAATGGGAGTAGACATTATTTGAGAAGCTGCTCGAAAACTAAGATCTGGAAGAAAAAAAATCATTAAGGCATCTACCATACTGTTATAACTTTTAGACACTTTCATGCAATGTAA